CAAGGGAAAGTGGTGGGGGGTAGACAGACAAATGTATTTGAAAAAAAAAATAAAATTAAAAAAATTTTTTTTAAATTTGTAAGTAATATGTTCACATTACTTTGAAAAAGACATTAAAAGTCTTATGAATATACAAAAAAAAAAAAAAATTACAGAGCATGTGCATCAAGACCTGTCTGTCAGGTTTGCATCCTGCCTCCACCTCTTCAAATGGCATACCACCCGAGTCTTAATTTCCTTATGTGTATCATGGGATGAGTATCTCCAGCTTGGTGGGATTGTTGTGAGGTTTCAATATGATAATACAGTCTGTGTTAAAGTACTTAGAGCACCCAGGAAATGCAAACATATACATATATGTTATATCCCTCTTTCTCTAGAGCCTAATGCTACAGGGGTGGAGTATAATTAAGAACACAAAGGTTGAGGGGCTGGATTGGATTCTTTGCATTTGCTCCATAATTTTTTAGTTGACCAAGTCACATTCTTTTTGAAAACCCTTATGGGCAAGGATGAATTAGACAGCCTCTGGCCTTAGGCAGTTCTCTGTGTACTCAGGGAGCTGGACATTGGGGTGCGTAAGGTATGGAGGAGATGCCAAAGGTGGGGTTCGAAGGGTAAGAGGGGGCTTATTGTTAGAAGGGAGTGGAGGGTGAGGAACAGATGGGGCCCAGGTCAGAAAGTGAGCATGGGTAACCCTGCCAGCCCCTGTACTGTGTACCTGGAAAAGCCAAACCCATGCACTTGCCCAAAAGACGCCTTGATCACCTGGGCTCCCACAGGAGGTGCAGAGGCAGAGGTGCAGGGAAGGGTACACGTGGACCAGGAGCCCACTCACCGGTTGGAGAAGAGAGGTATCCATTCATTCATATAGGCAGGAGGGCCAGCTGGGCTTGCTCCATGGGCCTAGTGACTGGACCAACACACTGCTCTTGACTGCAGTAACTCTTAGACATCAAGCACAGACAAAAGCCTTTCTTGTGATTATCTTCCTTTGCCTCATTTTTATAATATTCTATTGACTTTCTCTTTGTAAGCTGCCTGAAATACATTTGGGAACAAGGTGAGTACAAATATAAGGGAGAAAAAGAGGAAGTTATGGTCAGTTATTTTTTAAGAGAAAAATTACCTGAATTTGAATTAGGTAATAAGTACTGTCACTTATTAAGTATTGTTATACAAGAATGTGTTTTGTTTTTCAAACAAAGGTGAGGCTCAGAGAGGTGTTAAGTGACTTGCCTCCAGTCTGGATAGGAACTCAGTCCAACACAAAGTCTATACTCATAGCCTAGTTCCCCTAAAGTAGAACAAGCTACATAACCTCTTTGAGTCTTGTGTTCTACTGATATAAACTCACTCCAAAACTTAGTGGCTTAAAACAATCACTTGATTATTATCACTCATGGTCCTAGGTTTTTACTGGGGTCTGTGAGGCAGCTGATATTGGCTGTCAGCTGTAACATGTGTACACAGGGCCTGTCCACGTGACCTGGGCTTTTTCATAGCATGGTGGCTGGGTCCCAAGACATAAGTGCAAACTGCTGGGAGTCTGGGATAGCACTACCATCACTGTAACCTACTGATCAGTCATCAAGTCCAAGTGAAAGGAAGAGCATATAGACATTACTTGTCAATGGGGCCATGTTTAGAACCTCCACATTTATAAAATCTGTAAAATGAAACCACACGAAGAAGACATGTTGTTTCTGTCAGTCCAAGCCTCCTTTTTTCCAGCAATAGAATTCATATTTCCCTTTTGGGGATTCCCCCTCCACCCTCACAAGCCCTGGACTTTTCAATTTGTGAAACTCAACTTCCTCCTTCCTAAGGAGGTTTGAGTTTAGCTTCTTCAACTTGTAAGTTTGCTTTACATCCACGTAAAGGGTGGTTATGGAGATTAAATAAGTGTAGAAAATATGGCCTTTACATAGCAGATATTCAGGTAGTGGTTTACCATTACAATGGGACACTTTTTTATGAAGAACGTGGCTATAGGTGGAGGGATTTTGATTTACCTCAAGTTAATCAATGGCCCAACTGGGATTCAAACCCAGGACACCTGGCTCAGAAGCTTTGGCCGTGCTCTACATTTTGTATTTCTGCAGTCTCATCAAATGGCCCACTGCATAGTATATAGTGTCCTTATAGGACAGAATATGACCTGGACACACAACTATATTTCGACTCCTTGCCAATAAAAAAAAATGACCGAACTCTCATGTATTTCCTAATAATCTAAAAACTGCTCTAAATCCTCAAAAAGCACTCCAACAGTTACTAATAAATGTTTTGAAGCAGCAAGTAAAAATGAGGTCTGAGATAGACTAAAAACAAATTATGGCCATATTTTGAAGCTCTTCAAATTAAGAGGAATTTGGCCTTAGCCATGTGATTTGCTTTGGCCAACTGAATCTTACAAACATGACACAAGCAAGAGCTTGAAAAGCACTTGTGTACTGGGGCTTACTCTCCCTTGCCTGCTAGATGCTGGAAACTGTGGCCCAGTTGCCCCTATTGCCCAGTCAACCACTTGAAGAGTGAGGTTATCTGGGAATAACCAGACCTCAGGCAATCTGCCAGCTCACTGCACCCACAGGAAAGCCCAGGTAAGTAGAACCACACAGCTAAGCACAACCCAAATTGCCAAGCCACAAACCCAAACTGATAAATGTTTATGAAAGGTACTCAATTTCAGAGTGGTTGTTATACAAGAGTTAATAACTGACATAAGGCCCATACTATTCCTGATCTAGGCCAACCCCTCACACAGATGAGGAAAGAGACCTGGCAAAGAAAAACACTTGCTGAGGATCACAATCCAGTAAACCCACTGGCTGTGATATTCCTTCAAGATGGCTGCTAGAATCACAAATGAGGATTCAGATCTTGAAAAACGTCTAGCGATGTTAGTCCTGCGGGGCACCACCTGGTATCACATTTCTTCACCATTTCTTTTTGGTTTTCACGTTAGAAAAATTAAAACTGTTGAGCAACGGGAGATGATTTTCTTGGCGCCAGGTATATATATGCAGGGTTTTATGGTTATGAACCTCCCACTCAGGAGTACAACTGTTCACTATCCCCTGGGATACCATTCTGTCCAGGATGTCTAGTGCCAGGGCAATTAGGTCCTCTGGGGAGAGCAGATGCTTCCTGCCCTGAAAGGGGTCTTCCTGCTCTTCTCATGGCTCTCAATGTCTGACACACTATGAAGCCCATAGCTCTTGCTGTTCTACCTGTCCCCCACACTCTGAGAAGTGCCTCAGTCAAGCACTACCGAGTAGAGCCTTGCAGAGTCTGGGAATATTATTACAGTGCAGTGGGCACACACTAGGCTCTGGAAACAGAGAACACAGTGCCAGCCCTCAGTGTGAGGTTCACCAGGATCCAAAATCCCTTCTTTAGACTTTGACTGAGCTCGAATACAGAATAGTGGTTCCCCATCTTGTACAGCTACGCATGACTCAGGGCTGCCTGGGGCCAGACAGCGGCCCCAAGGGGACCAAGGCACAGCGCCCCACCTTGTACAGGTGGGGACAAGAACATCTGCCATGTATGCAAATAGATCTGCTGGAGTTGAGCTTTGGCCTTCTAGGTAGCAAAGAAAGACTGTGGGTTCAAGGATGGTAGATGTATGTTCCACTGAGGGCTTTTCGGGGGGAAAGGACATTCCCCAATGACCTAGGACCTTCCTCAGGACACCCCCTTCATCTCTTCAGACTGAAGCCTTTTGTTTTGACTAAGCTAGGCCAGGGCTCAGCCCATTTCCAAGGGACTATTTTTCACCCCAGGTCTGGATCTCGGAGACTTCTTAGAGGTGAGGTGAGGACACTAGAAGAGCAGCTTATGATGCATGAACACTTTCCAGGCAGAAAAAGAGGGAGCAAGAGTATGTGCCTGTCAACCTACAGCCCTACACCAGTGAGGCCAGCCTAACTGTCCACACTTGTATCATCCAGACTGCTGGACCAGGGAAGGTACCTGCAATCTATGACTGACTGGCTCAAAAATGTAACTGCTGTGGCCACTCCAAAACTTAGTGGCTTAAAACAATCATTTGATTATTATCCCTCATGGTGCTAGGTTTTGACTGACGTCTGCGAGGCTCAAAAATGTAAATGCAGTTATATTTTTTTCTTGGGAACGCTTGGGAACCTGGAATGTGGAGGAACTGGACAATTTTTGGGAAAATAAAGGGAAAGGGGGTGAGGGGTGAAGTTAGGACAGAAGTGCGGAGTTCGAAGGAACCTGGCCAATTAGAGAATAGAGATTCATGTAGACAGGCCACAAGGATCCTAATGTCAAACCCTGCAGTGTGAGGTAACTGGAGCAGGGCTCTGTTTATTGCCTATGAGTGTGAAGGACTTGTTCTGTGTGGCTGCGGTGTAAGGTTTGTGTGTGTGGTGACAAAAGAACCGGAGAGACCAGGACAAGAAGGATCATGTACCCTATATTCAGGGGCTGGCATTTTGTCCTGATGGTGAGAAGTCACTCAGGAAAGGGTTTTTACACAGATAAGGGACGCAATTCAGAAATAACACCGTGGTGGCCAGTGAAAAATGGGGCAGGGAGAAGCAGGAGACTGAGAGGCTGGTGAGAGGACAAAGTCCAAGTGAAAAAACATAGTGTCTTAAACAATCACAGAGAAGGGGAAGAAACAGTGGATTCTCGGATCATGTTAGAGCTGGGAAAGACCAGACTTAGTGAGAAGCTGAGGCCTGGACCAATCACTTGGCACTTCAGCCACCAAGGTGCTATCATGGGCATTGGCACATCTAACCCTCCCCAACAACCCTACTGGTCATTTTTAGCCCCATTTTAGCTGTGGAAATTAAGGCCCAGATGGATCAGTATTAGGTACCCTATTCAATGGTCCCTGACAGGTTAAGAGTAAAGGAGGAACCAGAAGGGGGCACAGCAGATCCGCTTTCTGGCTGGGCAGGAGGGCCAGGGTACCTTCACGAGAAAACACAAACCATCCCATCTCAGAGGAAGTGGGGATCCAATTTCTTTATTGTCAGGGTTTCCTCCTGTGCCCCCCACCCCTCACCAAACCTATAGAAAAACCCCAAGCCTGGGAGTGTCCTGGGGAGGGGAGGCAGAGTGTAGGAAAACTCTGTGCTCTGCCCTCTAGCCTGGGCAGTGACAACAGGGAGGGTACGTGGGGAGGGGAGGCCAGTAACTCCACCTGCAGAGGATGTGGCACTGGCTGGGATGCATGGAGGATGAGGTGCCTGCTGCCAACTCTCCTTTGGGACCAGCTGGGGCGGCATCCAGGGGTGGGTGCCCAGCTTGAGGCCTGGTAGAGTGCACGCCCTTCTTCTGCCAGTGGCCATCACTCCTGTCAGGCTGAGAAAGAGACAAATGAGAGACTAAGGCTGAGAAGAAAAGCCCCTGTGCTTTCGATAACAGGGATTGGAAAGGAGCAAGGGCAGAATGATCTTTGCTACTTGCAGACAGATATGCCTGTGCTCTGGCCTGATAATTTTCTGGCCATGCAACTTTGGGCAAGTCTATCTCCCTCCTTCAACCTCCATGTCCTCACCTGAGTCCCTGCACTTCACCTGCAAATTGGCTTAACAAGGTAAAACTTAAGTCTCTCTGGTAAAACAAACCATGAAGCTCCAAGAGAAAAAGCTGCATATATGTAATTTCCTAAACTTAACTGTCTGGGAAGCCCTTGCTGGTGGAGCATCTCACAGCATGAACATATCATGTAGAAGACATCTCTGTCTGAGGCCTTCCTTCACCCAAGCCTAACTCTGAACACGGCCCCCAAAGGAATGGGGCAGAGAGTTGGCAGAGCTAGGTGCTAAATACTGGCCGGAAAGTGGGCCTTGAGGCTACATACCACTGGGTTCAAATGTAGTCTCCACCAATTACCACCTTGGGATCTTATAAGATATGTGATATCTCTTGCCCCTCCTTCAGTGCTTCAGTTTCTACATACAGTAATAGTAACACAATCACAACCTGTCGGGCAACTCTTGGCACACAGGGCATTTCCTCCCAACAGATCAAGTCCCAGTCCCTAAGTCTGGCACAACCTCACCCTCTAATGATAAGCAGCTCCCTCTCCTTACTCCGCAGAGCTGGGAATGCAGCCACAGGAGATTCCTGGCCATTCCCCACACGCTAAAGACAGCCAGAGCTCTGTGCCTCTGTTAAGGGTGTCCCCTCAGATGTTTGTCCCTCAATTCTGCTCAGGCTCAGCTGCCTATCCCCTCTTCCAACACACCCCTCCTTTGTCTCCCTGGCTCTCCGGCCCCTGTTCCTGCTCACACTGGATGGTAATGCTTTGTCTTCCTCCAGAAGAGAAGAATCTCAGAGTTCCTCAAGGGTGCGAACAGGCAGCATGGCTCAGTGTGCCGAGGGAACCCCTGCTGCGTGGGCCCAGCTGGCCCATCCGTGACTCCTACTCCCACAGCCTGCCAAGTTCCCACACAAAGACGTGTGGGAAAATACTGGGGAGAGAGGAGCTATCATCGCTGGACACAGCACTACCCTGTCCTACTACTCTGCTTCATGGCATGCCCCCCACTTCACCTCACCCCTTGCCCTCCAGGACTGCCGTACCTGCTCACTGCAAGGCCCCATCCTCCGCGTCTGTGTCCTGGCTGTGCTCCTGATAGGGAGGAGGCAACAAGAGACCACACATCACTCATTGCAAGCACTGAGTCCTGCTCTGAGGCCCAGGGCACATGTATGGGCCACACTCAGAAAGAGGGAGAGACAGCTAAGGGAAATGACTATGGGCCCCGTCTAAACAAGGCTGGTCTGGGATCCCAACAGGGTGGACTGAGGGCCCCTCCGGAGAGAGAAGGAACCAGTCAAGTAAGTTCTATGCATGGCAGGGGGCATGTTTCTGCACAGAAAGGCCTTCTCAGATTGGAGCAGGCTAAAAGCCTAGTAGACTAGTGATCTCCCCCATCTTTGGGACATCTAAGCCTTTATTACAGCCTTTATGAAGACTACTGTGCCCAAAAGAGTAAGCAGAAGTGTCAGATTAGGTTCCAAGAAGGAGAAATGAGCTGGGCATGAGGAGGACCTCGTAAGTGTTGTAGCCAACAACTCATACCAGAACCCAGCAGTGATGAAAAGAAGAATGTTCTAGACCTAGTGAATAAGTCTGGTCTCCAATCTAGGCTTGCCCCTTATTAGCTATAAGGCGCTGAGCAAGCTATGACTCCTCCAAGCCTCAGTTTCCCCATGGGGTAAAATGTGGGAAGAGTAATACTTTGCTCTTGTTGTTAAGGTTGAATGAAGTCAGAGAGTGCGAACTATAGGGCCTGGTGCTCAGTGAGTGCTTCTTAGGTAAACAAGGAGTAAGCACACAACAGATACCTTATAGACTCAGAATCTGGCCAACCTTCCCACTTCATATAAGATCCTTGCCAAATGACTTTCCACCCTCACTGTGAAGAATTCCAGTAACAGATGGGGGAGGGGGAGTTCCCTTGCTCCCTCATAAGATAGGCTGTTTCATGCTAAGGCAAAAGTGGCTTTTAGAAAATCCTCAGGTACAATAGATACCTACTTCTCTGTGGCTTCCCCAGGAAATCCCAGTCCTGCTCCCTGCTCTGTAGACCATGTATGCTTCCTGAGCCCGACTCTTCCCCTCCCCAATCCATGTGGAAAACTGAGTCTTGACTGGCCCTAGACTCAAGAAAGGTCTGCCCCAGCCCTCAGTGGGAATTCTGACTGGCCACTGAAATAGGCAACTACTCTCTACTCATTCCTCACCTTCCTCACAGGACTAAAGTCTCTAGGAAAAAGGGACCAGCTCAGAGGCCCTCCCTCCCCTGTTGCGACCAGGAGTGCACAGCCGGGTCCCAGCCCCTCCAGCCATGCCCTCACCAGCTCTTCCTCGCTGTGTGTCAGCAGCCCCTCCTCATCGCCGTCATCTCGAGCCTGTGCTTCTCCCTGGGGCGTGCCTGCCTCAGAAACTGTGTCCTCTTGGGGGGGCGGTGGCCGGCTGCTGCCGCCACTGCCGCTGCCGCTGCCGCTGCCGCCGCCGCTGCCTCCGCCACCACCACTGCCACTGTCGCCCTTCTTCTTGCCATCTTGAGGGAGAAGGGTGGTGAAGAGGGGAATAAAACTCAGCCTGGGGCAGCTGCCTGGGGCAACACCTCAACAGAAGCAAGGCCTCAACACAGTAGGCCCAGGAGGAATTAGAGGCCACAGCTCCTCTCTGCCCCATCACTGTCCTCCCTCACACTTTGCCCCCGGTCCTCTGGTCAATTGAACCAAGGCAGAACCCTTAGAAGCTGACCTGGGTTGGCCTTCTGCTCCTCAGCAATCTGTTCCAAGCGGCCCAGCAGGGCGTCGATGTTGGACTTGATCTGCGTCAGCTCTGTCTTGATGGTCTGCAGCTCACTGCTCTTTACTGGGAGTGGAGGGAATACAGACTGTCACGGAGGGGCTGGGAGCTTGATACTAACACAAGACCCTAGCCCCATCCTGTCAGCTAGGAAGGTAGGCCACTGGCAGGAACTGTCCTTGCCCACAGATGTTCTTTTGGCCAGGGAAAAGGCCATAGCTGTCTGTGGCTTCCCTTGAGATTTTCTGAAGGCTATTCCAACAGTGACCAGACCACCCTTCTGAACCTGGGCTCTCCCCCACACCTGACCTCTCCATTCTATAAGGAACTGGGGAGGGATAAGAATGCAGGTGTGCGGTGTGCACCTCTGTGTGCACCTGAACAAGCATGGATCTCTGCTTCTGACTCAGTGGTGTCTGCCTTTCAAGATGTATAAATGCGGGTGTTTTAGTCAGATTTCCTGGCTGACTGGCTATGGCATGTGCAGAATGAATGTAGAGCAGTGGGCCTGTGTAGATTTGTCTTGTCCTTACTAGAGGAAAGATGGCAGCATCTCCTCACTGTGCTCCATGTCATAGCACTGGACTTTGTGCCTAACCCAAGCCCCTCCCCCTCAAACACAGCCTTTTTGTCTTAGAAATACCTGAAAATATTCGGTTGTGTTAGAGCTGCAGTACTGTGGGAGATATGTTCCTTTATTTTCCAACATAAAACAAATGTAATTCTATTATTTTGCTAATGACAAAAAATTACTTAGGAATAAGTTACTCACACTTGATCTTGGCTGAGCTGGTGGTGATGGCTGCGGAGCGGGCAAAGAGCTTGACAGGGATGGTGGTTTTGACACGCCGGACCAAAGGGACTGTGACCCGGGGTCGTTTCACCGGGACAGCCCTGGGTACAGGCACTGGTGACAGGCGGCCCCGATAGTCGAAGAGCCTGTGAGGGCAAATGGGCCAGAGGCTGCAGCATGGCCTGTGGCCACCAGGGGTCACTGTGACTTTAGGCTAACACGTGTATATACACAGCTGGTGAAGGGCTGGCCTCCGTTACACACCTCTGCTTGTTCCCAACAAGCCTGGGAAGGGAGGAGGGGGATGGCAGGCAGATGAGGTTAAGAGAAAGGGCTTTGGGGACTCTTAGAGCGGCTGAGATCCTCACTACAACCACCTTTCCTACCAGGCTGGTAGGGGCAGGTGAGGTAACAGGTGCCTGATTCAACAGAGGAGTAAACTGAGACCAGGCCCAGAAAGGAGTCTTCCCTAGATCACCCTGACACCCAGGACTGCTCTACTCCTCACCTTGCTTCTGTTCAATCAACTGAGACCTCAACTCCTGGTCAGAGTTTGCAAATCTCACTAAAGCAGCACAAACCCCTAGCTGAGAAGTGGAGGGCCAATCCTCAAGCCTGCCTGAGCCTCAGTTTTCCCATCTGCTTAATGAGGATGGCTACCCCAAGTTCTTTATTCCCCACCCACCTCACCCCATCCAGGCTGCTGTGAGGGTAGAGTACGAGAGAATGTGGTTAAAGACAACATTAGAAGGTGTGATTGGTGAATGACCAAGACCCTGAAACTCAGGGGCCTATGACCTCAGAAGCATAAGACCCCTTTCCTCTTTCAGGGCCCCTCAGTCACTCTACCCTTCTTACTCCACTTCAGAGATAGAGGGCAGGAGGCCCAGCAAAGTATCAAGGTTGGGCAACTCAATCAGACCCCTCTGCTCCCAGACTATGTGCTGCCCCCGCCCCAACGCCATCACCCAGCCCTCTCCAGGAGGGCTCCTTTTCCTGCTGATCACGCAGAAGCTCAGTAGGCTGCGTCAGGCTTTCCCACCCCAGCTGCTACTACCACCTTTCAACAGCAGCCTCAGGGGTATACTATGGGATCTCTTCCCTGATGACAACCCGGAAATCCGTTATCAATGGGCAATTCAATGCCCCATGCTTTGGCATTCCTTTGTTCAGGGAGCCTCTACCCTGGGTTGGTGATGGCTGGAGACAGAGAATCTCTGGGAATGCACCCAGTTCCAGACACTGCATTTCTTCCCCCAAGGGGAGGGGGCGGCTCTGGCCTTGGTCAGAATCACTGAACCACACAGAATCCCAGAGCTGGAGGAGCCCTGAGGGATCATTTGGTGCAAGCCCATTTCACAGACTGGGAGGGAATTTACCCAAAGTCACACAATCCATTCAGTGGCAGAGCTGAGATTAGCACCCAAGTATTCTGACTCCCAGGCTAGGGCACTTTCAACTACGCCACACTGTCTCCTGAAACCATTCACAGGTGAGAAAACCGAGGCTCAGAGAGGTTCTATTCTTGGACAGCCTGGGGCAGGCCAAGAGGGAGGGAGGGGGAGAAGTGGGGAGAAGTTGGGGCCGGCCCCCATCATGATTTCCACTCAAGAATGTGGAGAGGGCCACGAAATGGAGGCCTCAGCCTCTAGGCTGGGGTCTAGGTAGGCTTGGGTGTAGAGGGTGAGCCGCAGCCTATTGGGGACTAACTCAGACCTCTAAGGGGCTGCTGCAGCTCAGACTGAGCTCTGAGGTTCCTTCCAGCTGTCTGGGTAACTCAGAATGGCAAGGAGAAGGAACAGCAGAGGCACAAGGGCTCAAACTCCCTGCACTGGGCCCTGTACCATTTTGTATTCTAACCTGCTGTCCAGTTCCATTGAGCCCCACCCCAGATTTAAGAGGAGCAAGGGCAGTCACAGAATGGGAGGCAGCATAGGGTGGGGAAACTCTAGCCTGGGCACCTGCAGAATTTGACTCCAGTCCCAGCTCTGCCACCAACTTGTGGAGCAGCCTTGGGCAAATGCCTGTCTACGCCTCTGGGCTTAGGTTCCACTTTGATGGCTGAATGGGCTGCACCAGCAATCTCTCAGCACCCTTCCAGCTTGGCTGTTTCATGCCTGGGCACGCCCCTCCCCTGCTCACCTGTCGTAGAAGTCGTCCCGGTAGTAATCATAGTCAAAGCTGTAGCCACTGGGGAAACAAAGGGGAGAGGGCTGGGTCTTAGGGACAGCCACTCAGCCCACTCTCCACAGGCCCTCATGTCCAAACGCCTCCCCAAATTCTAGGCTCAGCACGTCACCACCAGTGTTTACTCCCCCTGTGGAAAGAGGGACCAATCCCACCCAGACAGAGACAGAAGAGACAGAATGCCCCACCTGTAAATGGCAGACGCTGCTCTCTTTAACCCCTTGGGTCTGTTGGGCTTGGGCTCACCAGCCATGTTGATGTCTGTGTGAAGGGAAGAGGCAGAGTCAGATGCTGGCAGGACAAATTTCATGCAAGTGTGCAGAAATTTGTGTGCATATATGATATACACATGAACTTTACTAATACAGCCAACAGAGGTCCTTACACATTATACTCATAATCACACATCACATGGATATGCCTGTTTACATGATCATATACATTCAGACACATGCATGCAAGCTCACAAACATATCAGTCACACGTACTCTATGTGCATCACACATACAAGTGTTCTCAAGTACACTCATGTAAACACAAACACAGACTGCACATCCTCATAAATATGCTCACATATGCAGGTAATAAGGTCACACATGCAGATAACATGTACACTCAGACTTGGTTCCAACATCATATATATAACTGTCCTATGCAAATGAGTCAATGCACATTCATACAAACGTTCTACCAAACATATTCATATCAAGAGCAGTGCTTACTTGGCACATGATGGGATCTCAACATATATTTGGTAAGTGAATATATGCATATCTACTTACACACTCATATATATTCTGACATATACTATACACACACACACACACACACACACACACACACACTCTGAGGTGCATGTCCACATATTCAATTACATCCACATACCATATACTCAGGAATACATATGCAAATACTCCTTCTCAAACATACACATATACACAGAGGTATATACACATATACAAAGCTGTATACACTCCAAGGCAGACTACCATCATGGCCACATTACATGTGCACAACCAAGGCCAAGGGCATCTGCTTGTTTCACCTTGTGCTCCTGGCAACCTCCTCCTGGCTTTCTGAAAGGGTTCTAACCTAAGCCATCTGTAGTTTAATGTAATAGGCTGTGCTAGTCCACTCTGTTCCCTTTCTCTGGGGAATCTGCATTTTAACTGGAACCATAAGCCTGTCATTAAGAGTCACTGTGCATCAGAGAAAGACGAATACCGTATGATTTCACTCATATGGGGAATCTAATAAACAAAATGAACTAACAAGCAAAACAGAGACAGACTCATAGAGAGAGAGCAGACTGACAGCTGGGGGTTGGGGGGGCGGTGCTTGGGGGATGGAGGGATTGAGTAAAAAGGGAAAAAAGGAGAAAATTCACAGACACAGACAATAGTGTGGTTATTGCTGGGGGTGGGGTGGGAGTGGAGGAGAATATAGGGGCAATACATGGTGAAAAGAAAACAGTCACTGTGAAAGCAGGGGCAGGACAAAAGTGTTTACCAGAAGCCTGTAAATTCTCCCCCCAAGGCACTGATTTGTAACTACTTAACTTATAACTATTTAAGTTATAACATCTTTAAGTGGGGGAGGGTAGTAGGTAAGGGCAGAGGAACATAACAGGAACTAAGAGGGGAGCTGGATAGTGAAGGCCAGCACCTGCTCAGGAGACTACCAGGAGCTTACCCAGGGTCTGCCCGGCCAGCACCCGCCCATTCTCTCCCAGCACAGCTGCCCGGGCATGGCGCTCATTGGCATACTGAACAAAGGCATAGCCCTTGTGGACAGAACAGCCGGCCACACGGCCATACTTGGAGAAGATGGTCTCCACATCTGACTTCTTCACCACAGCTGTGTTGAGGTTTCCAATGAAGACTCGAGAGTTGATGGACTTGGGGTCATTCTTGTTGGTTACGTTGCTTGTCTGGATCTTCAAGGACATGGTGGCTACCTGAAGAGAGAAAGCCACTGTGAGGCTGGGTCCACGGGCTGGACTCAAGGGCTACTCATGGCTCACATCTTAGCTAAGTGGATTTTTTTGTGCGTTCCTACACCCCTCCCCCTCACCAACCCACAGCATCCAGCCCCCCACTTTTATTCATCTTTCTGGCTGCAGAGCTCATGCCAGGTACTCTGCATTATGTTTCCTCATTTGGTACTGACAAACAGAACCTGCATATTCTACAAGGGAAAGAATGCACATTCAGAGGTCTCAATGCTAGTGAATGGCAAGGCTGGGATTTGAACCGTGGTCTGCTTGATTCCAAGTCTTTTAAATGCACTCCATCTTTCATGCTCATTTCAAATGTTACCACCCCATACAAGATCTGAATCTGAAGACCTCCCACAGTTTTTCTTCTGTTCCTTCAATGTAGAACTATGGCCAAAAAGCTACAGAACAGTACTATATACGAAAATTGCTCAGTATGATCCAGACATGGGCCTAGCTATGGCTCTCTTTATTGGTACCTGCCATTTTGAAAATGAGTCTCACTCAACTCAATGTGGGCTTGGTCCTCTGCTCACTGGCATCAGTTGGTGCAACTCCCTTTTAGAATATGCCTATCCCAAGAACTTATGAGTATTATCCATACTATCATTCATATTTTACCAGAAACAGACTTCAGTAAGTTTATTAACTTGCCAGGCATTCAAACCCTGGTCAGTTAGTCCCTAAATCCCATTTCTTTCAACTTTATCACTGTCCTTCCCAGAGCGGAAGCCAATTTTTATGTATACTTTTTATTGATTTTTTTATTTTGAGAGAGAAAGAAAAACATCATTTTGTTGTTCCACTTATTTATACATTTATTGGTTGATTCTTGTATGTGCCCTGACCAGGGATCAAACATGCAACCTTGGTGTACTGGGATGATGTTCTCACTGAGCTACCTAGCCAGGGCCACTAAAGCCAATTTAAATACTACAGAGTAAGTCAACATATTTATCTGAGAATTATTTCTTAAATTGATTTTTTAGAGTTAACTCTTCTATATTTATTAAAATTTTGTTCTTTGCTAGAGATGATACTGTATCTACTCTTTGCTCTCTAGACTCCAGTAGTCTTTTATGCCAAAGGATAAGGTTACATCTGCCACAGCCTCAAAGTGAAAGGGGAAAAGCAGGCTCCGTTTCAGTAGGAAAGGTCTAATGTTAATAAGCACTGGCATTTATACTTCCTGGCACAGTCTTCTGCTCTTTGGCATGGGTTGGTGCAACTTCCTTTAGAGCAACCACCCTAGAGTTATTTAAGAAGGTGCTAAAGACCCCCAATCTAGTATAAGCTAACTGTAAACTCCTGCCTATTTACCTAATATTTTTGGGCAGAGGGGGCTTCTTTTTAGTGAAATAGAGAAGAGCTAAGTAGAAGCTGGGAAATCTGTAACTTTTGTCCCATTAGGGTAAGAGACCTTTCTCTCCCCAATTCTCCCAGTCTGGACGCTGGCATATTCTGACCAGCAGATGGCACTGTTCACAAGGGAACCACAGGCTGGACAAAACATTCAGATGAACCCGCCCCCAGGGTGGGCTTACAGTAGGTTCCACAGATATAATGAGGTCAAGTATGCCATCCAAGGTAAAGGAAGCCTTAGAGGGCACTGCTATTGATGAAAAGGCTGGTGCCAGCTTTGGAATCAGCCTGGGGGACAAGACTCTTTTGGTCATTGTTTCCCTTTGCATCCAGTCATCAACATTCATTAAGTAGTCCATATGCAGCAGGAAATGCTCAATATTTGTGGATTCCCTCAGGTTCTCCATTCCTCACAGTCCTCTGACATCCCTCTCCTACCTGGATGACAAGGCACTAAAAAGTTAATTCCTTGTCCATCAGCAGGTATACAAAAAGTTCGAGGGGCTCCTCCATGGTAATCAGATACTTCTCTCCTTTTTGGTCCAGGGCAAAACCATGAAGTTTTGGCCCAGGGAGATACTACCTGCTTTGGCTGAGGGAATCAACCAGGCCTTAGGTATGGACCAAAATAAAAGGAAGAGAGGGGGATTATGACTGAGAGATCTGTTGATGACTGCTGGCTCTGCCACTGATGTGCTAGGGACATGACAGCTGCTGGGTTCCCTCAGACCTCTCCCAAAAGCCTCTTATACCACTAAACAAGAACCGTTTGCTGAGCACCTGTGCTTCATACGACAGCGAGGTCAGCACTCAGTGCTTGGCTGATGAGCAAAGCCCTTTGGCTTTGGCCCTGGCCATACCCCATCTTTTCTCTCCCCATCTGTGGTTTGAACAACTCTGCAAATTTTAAAGCTCTAACCCTGCCATTTATGGGCCCATTCTAGATAAGGGTCAAGGTGAGACTAAAGCACATTCTGAATGATACCAAGGAGAGACAGGCAGAAGTCATGTCACATGAAGGTTAGTTTTCTGACGTATTGAGAAAAGACTTGGAAAGTGTATGTATGTGGCCACTCTGGGGGAGGAATCTGCAGAGCCAAGGGGAAACATCCACCTGAAGCATGCTCTGGGCACCCACCCACTATACTCTCCCATGTAAATAGCCTCCAATCTGCTTTCAAGGCCTGCATATTCCTTGGAAGCAGCCTGTGTGCTGTTGTGTGTACTCCCTAAATTCAAGGGGATAGGTATCTGTGGGGTAATGGAAAAGCTCAAGTGTCTACATATATGTCCATGAAGCTCCTCATAGGGAGAAATGGAGTTGAGGGTGGAAAATGAACAGGAAGCATGCCCAGAATAACTTGCAGAATTTCTAGGTTCAGGTACAGAATTCCCAGAGTCAAGGACTCTAAATTCAGACATGGTCGTCCAGGTTGTTATGAACACAATAATTTATTAACTTCACTTACAACTTTAAAATATTTAGACATACGGTATGTGGGTCTCCATTGGTACTCTTGTTCTGCCTTACAAATGTTAGAGACAGGTCTGACAAAGCCTAGGGCAGAGTTAAGTGCTCAGAAGTGTTAGAGAGGAAGAAGTGAGGATAATGTCCTAGGAGGTGAGGTGACAAGGGCTAGCTGAGGTGCTGCATTAAGTTGGGGAGAGACCACTGAGAGCTGAGGTCCCAGGCACTTATTCTTGTCTCTGACCAAATACCTTCCTCCACAGGTCAACCATCGCCAACTCAAATCTTTCTCACATAATTCTTTTTTTGGCTCTTCCAGGCTTCCCCCTAGCTTTAGAGTGGGAGTCCTGGAAAATATTGACATCCTATTCAGCAGAAGCTGCTTGACTTGATAAGCTCCTTCCCCCCTGGGCTAAGCTCTGCCTCACAGATTAACTGTGTAATTGAGAGCAAGGTGTCTGCAGCCCCCAGAGGTCCCATGTTTAGCAATGTGCTAAAGAGAGATGGGTAGAGGGACTGTTCTAGGTGGTGGTGGTGGTGGTGGTGGTGGTAAAAGGAGGAGGTAAGATGGGAGGGGGAGAGAGAACAAGACTTGTTCCCAGACACTCTTGCAATGTCAGAGTAGCAGGGACATTAGTGAGTGTGGAGCTTATATGCCCCCACTCTGAGGAACAAAAAGGAATGGACTTAGCCAGTGAGTAGCAGGGCCAAGAACCGGATGGGTCCTTGTGTACGGTCCTTATGTCCCATTTTTCCTTTAGGGCTGGTGACAAGCCTCAGGACAATGAAGAGGTGGGAGGGGGCAGCCTATATAAGCTACGTTTGAGAGAACCAGGGACTGGCTCCCAAGTAAGTATCAACACCTTTACCTGCTGGAAAAACACTTGCTGCAGAAAAGCTGGGTCCCTAAGCTAATTAACACCCACCAGGGACACAGACTTTGAAATGCAATGTACAGCTCAAAGGAATGGGCTAGCTCCTCCAGGCTAATAGGAATAGACGAGATTTGGCAAAAACAAATCATTTTTCCTAGTTGAAACATTTTAGACGGAAGCTATGTTTTGGAAGACAAGAGCTAAGCCTAAACATGGGGTTAAGTGACAAGGCTTTGTAAAGGTAGAAAAATCTTAAAAGGTAACTCAACCCCTGAACTTTAGGTAAATGAGACCCCCAGAGGGCCATCCCAGTAAGAATAGCTTCTAATTACTGAATGCCAACAATGAGTCAGAGGCTTTACATAGCTCACATTATTTAATCTTAACGGCCCTATGAAGAGGTATTTTAAATAGGGACACAGAGGCTTGGAGAGGTAAAAAAACTGATTAACAGAACAAAGTCAGAACTGGGACCCAGTCTAACTCCAAACACCTATGCACAGAGATGCTTTTCATACTTATTCCCATGGTGAGACTGTGTCACCCTGAGCCAGTCACACCCTCTCCTTGGTCCTCGCCCCTTTACCTTTTCTACTACAATTCCTCACAGTTGCACAGGATTTTAGTGAACAAAGCCAGTTTACATCCTTGATCCTGACATGGTTGATCCCATTTTATAGACTAAAAAGCTGAGGATCAGCAAAGATAAGTAACTTTTTTAAGGCCATTCATGTAGTAGAAAAAGTAACTAGGGGTCTTGAATCCAAGCTTCTTGTTCAACACTCTACAAGCCACTGTCTCAGAAAACCTTCCCTGCCAGCTCTGTAAATCCTCCCCAACACTGGATCTTTTTCTTGAAATGCTCATTTCAAAAGAGGAGTCACTACTCTTAGTTCTAATGTTTCACCACTACCATATGCAGTGCTATTTAGAGCCTCTGTCTGGGCCAGTCCTGCTGGACACCTCTGGCCTTATTTTCCAGCATAGGGATGAGGGTCATCATCAGCCTTTGGCCAGACCTCTGCCCTTAAATAACCCTGGGGACATTTGGACAGTTTTAAAGAAAACAGTTATCAGAGATGAGAAGGCTATTTTTGAAGAAAGCCAAGCAATTAAATTGATCAGTGCCCAGCACCTCCTTGGTCCAGAGGCTCCCGGTTACCAGGAGGCTGGAGATGACAGAACATCTATTAATCTCATTAAACTCTCCAGGCCCCAGCTCATTAGCATTGCCAAAATAATCATTACTGGCCAGA